GGGTGGGGGGCGTGGCCCAGCGGAATAAAAGGGCCCTAGGAGCCCCAGGAGGCCCGTTAGAGCTGCTTGGCCGCAGTGCCCGCCCAGCCCCGGACCGTCCGCGCTCCAGCTGGTGAGCCCCCGCCTCGCCCTAACCCTGGGTTTGTCTCTTGCTGTCCTGTCTGTCCACCTCCGTCTCTCTATGGGTCTGCAAGCCTGTGAGGGTTCCTGAAGGTTGAACGCTGGGAGGGATGTAGGTCACTTGGACAGTTACCCTAGCCCCCTAGTCGCTCACAGTTCGTTTCCAATGGAAGTGTCCAAGTTGGGGAACTTGGCCCCAGGCCCACCTAGGATGGTGTGCTGGGGCCTCGGGGTTCATGCGTGTCTTGTTTGTGAGCACGCTAAGTGTAACTAAATCTCTGCCTTCTCACCCAGGAAGGAGGCAGGGGAAGGGAAAAGACAGGTTCAGATGTCTCTCCTGTTACTTGGGGGAAAAAGAAGCAGGGCACAGCAGAGCTCTCCAACTAACCAGACCAAAGCTGATGATGGGGGTGGGTAGTGGGAGGAGGGGAGGAGGGAAGGCAGAGGGTGGAAGGTGGGTAGAAGGCTTCAATCCCCTATGCCTGGACAGGTAGGGCTCAGAGACCATTTGCTGGCACTGCTTCAGGTCACCATAATCAGTGGTCCCAGGGAGTGTATCAGAGTTGAGAGGGGAAGCTCCACCCCATCCCCAAAGAGCTAGAGAGAAGGGGTTCAAGTTAACTCCGGGCTGGTGCCCACCAGGACAGCACCCCACAATGCTCCCTCCTGAACACCCTTGGGCATTTCCAGTCCTTTCTAGGGGTGCCAGGTCAGGCCAGGTGCCAGAGTCCTCTGGCAGCACCTGGAGCAGGTGCCACTCTGCTTCAAGTTGGCAGGGTCCTGGATCTGTCATTTGGTTGCATTCAGTCCTGGCATCCACCCCAGTGACCTCACACCACAGCTGGGTCATAAATCAACCAGCAACAGGCTGGAATTTCATTCATCTCCCTGCCTCCCTTCATTCTTCCCCCTCCTCCTCCAATCTCCCTTTCTCTCATGGCTGAGAGCCTGGCTTCTGGGTCCAGGCTGCCTGGGTTTGAATCCTGGCTGAGGAAGTTACTTCGCTACTCTGGGCCTCATTTTCTCATCTGTAAAGTAGAGATACATATTCAATAAAAATTTTATATTACATTATATTATATTATATTATATTATATTATTTATAATAAATAAATATGAAAAACGTATGTATGATTATATTATATTAATTATAATAATTATTATTAACCCCCACACCTTCCCACATCCCTCCCCTCACCCTGTCTCCTCCTTCACTTGGGAAAAAGGCTGACACTTTGAGGCTGTTTTCTTCTTTAAGGGTGGCTCCTCACCCTGGTCCTCTTTTCTGTGCTCAGTGCTAGGGGACCAGTTATGGGAGACACTGGGGATTAGTTGTGGAGACAGGAAGCAAACACACCAAGTGCCAGGAAGGAGAGGACCTGGGAGGGCTCAATGGAGAGGGTAGCATTTGAAATGGGGTTAAAAGGCGTGTAGGAATTTAACAATCTGAAATAAAGGGAAAGGATACTCCAAGTACAAGGAACAATAAGAGCAAAGGCTTGGAGGCTGGGAATTGCGGGTACGTTAGGGAATGTGAGAAGACAAGTTTGGTGTGAGCAAAAACTGTGAGGCACCTGCAGTGGGCAGGAAGGCTGGGAAGAAGGGCTCCTCCTGTATCTGACCCTCAGTCCCCACTATCGCCCATTTACCTCCTGGGCAGATTCCATGGAAGGGAGCTGCCCCGGCCTAGCACGCAGGGTCCTGCTGCAGAAGCTCGCCCCCGCCTCCGGGGAAGCCCCTTGGAGGAGAGGGAGCCTGTTGGCCCAGAACTGTCCACAGCCTCTAATAACACCTCTATGTTGCTGTGGGGACGTCAGCTACAGCCACACTGGCAGACCTGCTTAGCCCATCCCACAGCCCATTAGAGCATGTCATAGATTTGGGGACCCCCTAGGGCCACCCCCTCCTCAAGTCACATAACAATTCGCTGGCAGAGTGAGGAGTATCCTGACTCCTGGGAATGGGGAGTGGGGTCATCTCTCAGGCCAGACCCAATGTGACCGCTGGGCCCTAACAGCTGGAGGGCCCTAAACCCAGTCCTTCCCTTCCTCTCTTGTCATCTTTGAAATGTCCCTACCCACAGTGACTGAGTTTGGGTCAGTCCCTCGTCGTCTACCTCTTTCCCCAGGGGTGATAGAGGAGGGAATAGGGACATCCCAAGCAGCAGAGAACACTCTGCTCCCGGTGACAGCCAGCTGGCAGGGGGAGTGACGTGAAGAAAACAGTGTTTAAGTCTGGAAAGGAAGTGCAGGAGGGGTCAGGGCAGGAAGAGGCTTCAGCAGCAAGAAAGGGGAGGAGGCAACACTCGGCCTCAGGAAGTGGAGAGAAGAGAACCTGGGTTCAGAAGGAAAAGAGACAAAGCTGGAGAACGTCACAAAGAAGGGTACCAGGAACTTACTGTTGAGTTAGCATGTGGCTTCCATTCCTTCTTTATCTAAAGAGGGGCTGGGACCAACCTAGTCCAATGGTTCTATAGTAGCTGTTACAGCTGCGGTTACTAATAGTTAACTGTCAACTGAGAACTTGCTCTTCTAAGGATTTAACATGTATTCATTCATTTAACTTTCACAAGAATCCTGGCTCTATTCTGGGCACTGGGGGCTGGAGCTTCATTCCTGAGCCCATCCAGGGCACTTCTACCCAGAGCCTGCCCATTCTGCCTAGCTCTGGACTGGCCAAAGCAAGAGGCCTGGCAGCTGAAGGGGCTGGGGCTGGTTGCGGGAAGGAGTATGGAGTGGTTTTCAGTCAGATACCAACCCGAAGGGAAAGGAGTGGCAGGGGACCCCTGTGAGACCTTCCTTGCTGAGACAGACCAGCTACACAGTCCCCCAAAGACATGAGTGGCCATGGAAGAGGGGGGTGTCCCCCAGAACATGCTTTCTTATGACTCAAGCACTGAACAGGGAGTGAGGGACCACATTCTCCATCCACTGCTCCAGACCGCCTCAGCTCCCCATCAGCAGCAGAGCCCAGAGATGGAGAAACTTTGGCGTTGGCGGCTGCAGACATTTGGACAGCTCTCAGCTCTAACTTAATCCTCTATGTTCCTCCCTGATCCTGGTCCCAAGACCAAGGCTGCTAATGTATGAGGGAGAGGACCAGCCCCCAACTTCATTCCCTCTAAGGACCCAAAGAGCATCTGATTACAGCCTCCTGGAAACAGGAGCCCTCTCTGGTGTATGGCCACTGCCTAAGATCCTCCCAGGACCCTTTGCTTCCTTCAGGATGAAGGAGAAACTCTCTGCATGGTGCATAAGGCCCTTGATCATCTGGCTCCAGCCTGTCCTTCCACCTGTCTCCCTCCAAGCTCTCAATACTGCAATACAGGATTAAGAGAGAGCACCTTCTCTTGCACAAATATCTCT